CCCCCCCCCCCCCCCCCCTTCCCCGATGCTCTCCTACCTCCCGGTTGCCGCGCTGCATCCGCCTCCCCCAGGCGCTCCCCTCCACTGTCGCCCCCGACCCGATGCATTTCGTCGCGTGCGGCGTTGGGGTTACTTAAAATGAAAACCCAGTCCTCGGCGCTCCCGGGAGGGCGGCCGTGGCTGCGAGACAATCGCGTTAACCCCTCACCGGCCACAGGCTGCCGACCGCCGCCACCGCCTGACCGTGGCTCCCCCCCTGTCCTCCTCCTCCTCCTCCTCCTTCTTGCAGGCAGTGGGGCTGCCCAGAGACCCCCGCACCCGTCCCTGGGGTCGCACGCAGCCAGGCCCGGGGCAGGGAGGCAATGGAGGAATGGGTGGATGGGGTGCCTGGGATGGAGCTCTCCATCCCTACAAATCCCCACACAACCCAGTGTGGAGCACAGAGACACCAAAAATGCCAACGCCTGCTGCGGCAAGCGGCTCTGAGCTCACTTCCAGCTCACTCCATTCCCCTATCCAAGCCCTCTGAAGTGGGACAAGGAGGTGCAAGAGGTGCTGTTGTCCCACCACACATCCCCATGGGACACTCCATGGCCCAGCAGCAATGGAGACAGCAGGGCTGGACTCTGTCACTGGTTCAGCTTCACTAGCACCAGGTACACCCGGTGTGTCCCCATGGGATGCTCCATGGTGCAGCACTGGGACACGCATGGGGATATGTATGGGGATGCTGGAGCTTCGCACTGCTTATTTCCATTGGCACCAGGTGCTGGATCCCTTCAGGCACACGGGGGATTGTGGCCACCTCACACTGCCTTTGGTACAGGGGTGTCCCCAGCGCCCCAGTGGGCTCAGCTCAGGTTCAGGCAGCAGGCGGCTGCCTCCTGATCAGGATGGGAGAAGCAGCGCCGGGGAATTAAATTCTGGGGTTGTTTTCTGGTTAAATCAACCGAGGCTAACGTGATGGAAAGCGGTGTGAGGGGGGGGTCCAGCCAGGCAGCAAGGCACAGGGCTGGGTGCAGGGCTGGGCGCACGGCTCAGTGCAGGGTTGGGTGCAGGACTTGATGCAGGGCTCAGCATAGGGCTCAGCAAAGGGGTCGATGCAGGGCTGGATGCAGGACTGGGTGCAAGGCTCAGCGCAGAGCTGGATGGAAAGCTCGGTGCAGGGCTGGGTGCAGAGCTGGATGCAGAGCTCGGTGCAGGGATGGGTGCAAGGCTCGGCGCAGGGCTGGCTGCAGGGCTCGGCGCAGTGCTATGCACAAGGCTCAGCACTGCAGCACCCACAGCTCCGTGCCGCCCGCTCGATCCTTGCCGGAGCCAGACGGACGCGCCCGGGCAGCACATCGGCGGCGGTCGGGTGGAGCCCGCGCGTTTCTTGCCGATCCAGGAGCTTGCTGTGAATGCCCACCCATTGCGACACCCTGAGCACGGCGGCAGCGTGCCAGTGCCCCGGGCGCTGTGTGTTTGCCTACCAAAGAGCCGTGCGGGCTCGGGCTCCTTTGCTTTCCCTGCCCTTAATTGGGAGGGATTGCCCGGGCGGCGCACGAGCTGTTCAGACATGAAGGGCTCCGGGGAGCGCAGCGCTGTGTGATGGGGAGTGCGCTGCCAGGAGCAGCCCTTCGCTCAGAGCCGCGCTCCCAATCCGGCTCCAATGGCCCCCAGTGCGCACCCCGTGTCCCCGTCCCACGGGATGCAGCCCCTGGGGTCAGCTTGGCACTTCTCATAGGTTAATCCCCCCCTTCCAGCAGACCTCGTATTAAAATAACAACAAAGGAGAGGTGGGGTGGGAGAACGGAGAAGTAGAGGCTGCGGGCGGCCCCAGTAGATGGGGTGAGAGGTGGGTGAGCATAAACTGGAGCTGCCCAGGGTTTGGGGGCAGCTGAGAAAGGGGAATGGCCATAAACATGGCAAGCGATGGCAAAAAGAAGGGAGAAGTGAGATGTGGGCAGGGGGAGTGAGACTGGGCAAAGGGGAGCGGGAGCGAGGTGAGAGGAGCAGAAGGACGGAGACGGGAGGAGAGAGGCAGCTGCAAGAGGAGGACGTGGAACCCTGAGGCGGATAGAGAGAAGGATAGGAGAAATGGCAGAGAAGGAGCGAGAGAGAAGGGAGGAAAGGAGAAGGGGAGGAAGGGGCGGCTGCGGGGCCGGGGCCGGGAGCAGCACGCGGCAGCACGCAGCAGCGCACGCTCGGCTCCGGTCACCGAAGCCTCTTCACGTCCCATTAGCGGCAATGGAAGGTGACAGCTGCGGATCGATAACAATCGCAGCAACAGACTCCGTGTAATAAACCCATCTCGCTCACATCGCCGCACCCCGGCCCCATCCGGCGCAGCTTTGGGTCCCGGGCTCAGCCCTCCTGCAGTGCTGGCAGGGGGGGGGGGCTGCAGTGCCCGGGGGGCTGTTTGCATGGCCTGGTGTAGAAGAGGGATGGAAGGAGGCAGCGAGAGGATGGTGGAGATTTGGAATTGCATTGCATCTGCGAAACACGCCGTGGGAGCACCCTGAAACCAACCCCATGAGGGCTTTGGGGAGGAGAAGACATGAAGACCCCCCAGGGGTGGGATGAGCCCTATTCCCCCACTCCCCAACCCCAGCAGCAGCACCTCTGCATGCGGTGGGCTCTGTGCAAAGAGCTGAGCAGGGCCAGAAAGCAAACAGGAGAGACACAGCTTCCCATTGTGGGGAATCCCCACCTGCGTATGAGCATCCCCTGCACCGGGCATCCTTCTGCACAGCCCTAAAGGGTGGATGGCTTGGGGGCCCGAGCTGCCCCAGTCATGGTATCGGGATTCCTGACCCCATAGGGATGCTTCACTCCGTGCACTGCGCTCTGTGCAGCCTGTTGACCACCCCAACTGCTGCGGGGAGGACCAGAAGGTACACGGGGTGCTGGTTGGGGGTTTGGGGCCGTTTTCCAACACCCCCCCACCCCACACACCCCCCTCCTCGCGGGTCCTCTATGCGGAGCGGAGCGAGAGCAGATAATGCAGCAGCCAAATGAGAACTGAGATAAAGCAATTACCTGATCAATACGGGTGAAATTGAGTAATCTAACAGATCAATAGCTCCGTCCCTCCCGCCCTACGCCCGGGCTGCGCGCGAGCGGCTCCGCACCGCCGGGACCCACGGAAGAAGGGGTCAAGGAGATGGGAAGGAGCAGAGGGAGAGAGCCCACCAGTTCCCTGCTGCAGTGAGTCCCCCTTCGAGGGGATTGCTTTGGGGCTGGGATGGGGACACACAAATCCCAGGGTCCCATTTCTTTCCCCCTTGCCCCCCCCCCCCCCCCCCGCCCCCTGCCCCAAATCCACGCACTCTGTTGGGTTGCAGCGCGTGCAGAGCAGGGCTGGGGGCTTTCCCATCGCCCCTGCAGGCTTTGAACTCCTATTTTGGCTGTGTTGGTGTTGGGGAGGAGGGGGAGCACCTGGCGGCAGCTGTAATCAGTTTTGCCATCAGCTCCGTGCTCCCAAAGAGCCGCTGGGGCCGCGCTGGAAAATTACCACTTTGATTTTACTGGAAGTTTCTAAACACTGAGCTTCGGTTTTCCAACTCGGGCCCAAACCTCCCCTTATTTTCCCTGGAAAGCAGACAGCGCTGCTTCAGAGGAACCGTCAGCAGAGCTGGGAGAGGGCTTCTTTAATCACAGCATTGGAAAAGAGTCTGCAGAGCTGCAGTTCTCCCTTTAATCAAGAGTTGGAAGAGCGGCCGCGGAGCTGCAGCATTCCCTTCGCTTCTCAGGGCTGCTTTCTGTGCAGGGGGAGCAAAGCATCACCCCCAACGCACGCCTCAATTTGGGGGGGATCTCTCCCACCTCCCCCATTGCCTCAGCTCTGAAAAAGCAGCGCTGGGTTTGAATGGGAGACGCCACTCTCCCTTCCCCCCCCAACCCAAACCTTTATCTGCCAGCTCCGTGCCGGCGTATGGAAACATTTTCTGCTTTGGACCTCACGAAGCAAACAGACGGAGAGAAATATTGGCAGCAGGAGGCTGAGTGAGCTCCCAAACAGGACCGGTCTGTGCAGAGAGCTGTAACACCCCAAGACTTGGCCCCACAGCTGCAACGGGAGCAAAGTGGAACAGCGGAGTTGGGGTCTGGGATGCAGCAGCACCCAACTGCTGGCACTGGAAGAGAGAAGCGAGGATTGGCCTCACCGCATGCGGCACGGGGATTTAATCGGTCCCTCGATTCAATCTGCGTTTCTCATCAGGTTAATTGGGCATCGAAGGGAGGGAGGAGAAAGGTTTGTCCCGTTTGCAGAAGGGCAGCGGTGCCACGTGGGGCCGGGTGCCAGCAGCCCCTAAATCCCCTCCTGACACACACAGGTCCCTCTGTGTCGCTCCAAAGAAAACCCCAAATTCAAGGAGCCCCCAAACCGCCGCCTCCCCCACGCAGAGGCAGCGCAGCTCCGCACCTCTCAGCCCCTCTTTATTAAAAACAAAACAACTTAAAAAACAACAAAACCACACGAGGCCAATTGGCCCAAAGCCTGGGCAGCAAACGTGCCGAGTTCAGGGCGTGGATTTGGGCCAGTTGGAGTTAAATGGAGTAGAGGAGAGCGGCTGCCAGGGCCGAGAGGCTTCTCACAGCATCAAATCCCACCAGCCATCCTGCTGGAGCCTGGGGGGGGGGGGAAAACGATGGGGACAACATTGGTTGCAATGGGGGAGCCTGGGGGGGGAAGATGATGGGGACAACATTGGTTGCAATGGGGAATCATAGAATCACTGGCCATGGTTGGAAGGGACCTCAAGGATGAGGAACCTCCAATCCTGCTTTATGCAGGGCCACCAACCTCCACGTTTAACACCGAGATGCTGGGACTCAGAGCAGAGGACAGAGCAGCCGTGCTTATTTAAAAGGTTTATTTAACTTTTTTAATTTGAGGTAAATTTCTTTTTTTTTTTTTCTTTCAACTTCCATAACAAAATACAGAGCTATCAGATACCCCTGGAAAAAAAAACAAAAAAACAAAAAACAAAACCAAAAATATGTATATTATACATATATTTCTATAACATTACATCATATATATATAATATATATATGCCGACTTCTTTTTTTTTTGTTTGCTTGTTTTGTTTCTGAAGACTTTATAGAAAGTGGAACGTCTAAAGGCACTGCACAATGGAGTATTTAAGGACTACTTTACATTGTTATGTACATTTGCACACACACCGTGCTGCTCTCACCATGTAGGTGTATGCATCCTTCCTAATCCCTGCTGAATCGAGTCTAGTAAAGTCATAGAACATGCCTCAGGAGAAGTGATTCATTACAAAGAAAGCAACTTTCTATGGGTAAATACTTAAAAACACTCTAAAATCGAAACTTCTTTTAGGAGAAAAAAAAATAATAATAATAATTATAATAGCAACGAATCTGATTACGATTAGTTCAAAACCGAGAGGAGAAATCTTGCTGCTTTGAAAAACCCACCGGGATCCCGGAAAGACACAGAAAACACAAAGTAAAAAGAAACCTGTTATTAAAAATAAACGAAACGACGTTAATTGTGGAATAAATAAAAAAAAAAAACAATGATGAAAGGGAAGAAAACAAAAAGAAAGGGACAACCGGGCCGCTGTGTTAATGCTGCTGCTGGGGGGGCTCTGCTGCTGCTGCTGCCCCCCATCCTGGTGCTGGGATGAGGTCGCATCCTCCTGCTTGCCTTCCTTGGGCTTCTTCCCAGCCGCCGGCCGTCGGTTGTCCCATTAAAGTCTCTTTTTTCCTACAGATTCCCTAAGACTAAACAAAGCCAAAAACAAAAAACAACCCCCAAAAAATAAAAATAAAATAAAATTAAAAAAAAAAAACCCAACCAACCAATGGTTTTAAACGTTAACATGCTCTGGATTAATTAGCACAGGCGGACGTCGAGAATTTTCAACCATTTAAACTTTACAAGTTTAAAGATTTTGGCACATTGGAATATATATATATATAATTCTTTTTTTTTTTTTTT